GGACAAGGGCTGTATGAGTAGGTGCAAATGACCTCATGTGGTTTTAGAGCCAGTCCAGCCCAGAACTTCAGGGGCAGAGGTGTCTGGATTATCTTCCCACATGGAAGTGCACCTCTAATGTGCTACCAGGGGAACTCTTGGGATTCACTTTCAAAGCACAAAAATTCTAGAACCCAAGAAGATCAGCTACAGGATAAGCTCTACTAGCTGCAGAGAAGGCCATGGCTGGCCAGGTGTCTTCACGGGGTCAGACTAGGTCCTCTTCTGCCTGGGTTCCCACATCTTTCTTTGAGTGTCCTTGGAGTTTAATTTGGGGGGTTTACCTAAATAACCTTGAGAATGACTCTTGATTTAAATTTGCATTTAAAACAGCTATAAGATTTTTTAAAAATTTTCCACTAAAGCTTTCATCAGGACAGATATTTTCCTTGTCTTAATTACTGGTCCAGTTACTCCAAACCCTTGGGCTTGCTTGTTTAGTCTCTACCAAATTAACCCTTTGGGTGAAACTTGTGTCGTTATACCTAATCCAAATCTCTGATGCTTCCTATATGGTTCTTCCTTCTGTCTGTGTTTTAAAAGTTTCCTAAACCATAATGAAGCCTTTGCAAAGCTAGTCCTCACCTCTCTCCCGGGTGCTCTCCCCTGGTGACCTCCAGTACCAGGTTTGCCTGAGACGTAGTGTGCTTTCACTTTGGAGCTCAGAGGCCAACTTTGCCTAGGGAGGAGCTGAAGAACAGGCCTCTGTTCTGTTTGCATTCATTTCTACCATCCTGAGAGGCCTATGCTAAAACCAGAGCCACTTCAAGACATGTCCCTGGCCAGAATCTCTGGCATGTCCAGGCTACCTGAGCTCAGCCTTGATGCTGTGGACATCTTGGACCAGATCATTCTTTGTTGTGTGGGGCTGTCCTGGGCATTATCAGAGGTTTACTAGTGATCTGGCCTCTACTTAGTAGCACCACTTTGCACAGTTGTCACAGTCAGTGTCCCCTAGACATTGCCAGTGTCCCCTAGGGTACATAGTCATCCCTCATCAAGAACAACTGTCCTGCATCTTACAGGCCACATCTGTATATTGGTAATGGTTTCTCCTTGCATTTCACCTGTAGGATCTTCTCTCCTGGGAGCCTTTATCAGATCTTCAAGAGGCAGGTGGGAATATGTTGATCAAGTGACATTATGTCCATGTTTCCTCCTGCTTTAAAACTTCTCTGATTTGACCTTCAGCCCTTAGTTACCAGAGGCTTTGGGAAAAAAAAAAAAAAAATCCCAGCAGTTTTTGTTATTTCTCATAAGTTCTTGGGTCTCCTCATCAAACCTTTAATCCTTCTGGTTTATTTCCTCCGGCTGCTTCTACTTTCTGCCTTATAGTCAGTGCTGTCTGTAGAACTTATTGAAACCTCTCAAACATTTTTTTTTTTTTATCTTTGGGGATGGATTGGAGAAAAATCCATCCCAGAAGGGAACTTGCAGAGTTTTTCTTTCTTGAGCTAAGAGAGAGCACAACATACTACTTCCCTGCATTTTTTGAATGAAGAGGTTGAGGCCAGAGGAGAGATGAAATGACTTGCCTAAAGTCACCCAGCTGTCTGGTGACCAAGTAAGGCTGAGGACTTCTAGGGCGCTTGCCTCTCTAATCCTTGGCCTCTTCCATGTGAGGCCATTCTTCTTTGGTGCTCTATGCTTACATGATCCCTAAGAATATTTGGACAGGGTTGGTTCAGAAGAGAGGGGAGAGTCAGAATCCCCTGTGCAGAAGCACCATGTCACTCATGCTGCTTCTCCCGGGGTAGTGCTGCGCCTGACCGCGGCTGTCTGAGCAACCAGCACAGTAGGAAAGCTGATGAGCCTTTTTGCCTCCTTTGAGGACCATGCACCTGCCACAGGCTCTCAGTCAAATTTTTATTTCCTAAGCATCCCAGCAGCAAAGTCCTGCCCTCAGACCAGCCAAATAAAAAAGCAGTCTGAACACTTGGTGTTTAAAAGTCCCCAGGTGACTTTTAAACCCAAGTCTTCATTAGATTTCAATACTGTGGTGGCTTTAGCCATTGTTTTTGTACAACCGTCGATTATTTAAATCACACGACAGTCAATTTTACAAACCAGGTACATATCATTTGTATAATTTTGTATATGCTCTGGTACACTACACCTGTCCCAACGAAGAGTAGAGCTGATTGTTTGTTGGTGTTCACACCTGTGACATTAGGGGGACATCTGCATTGCTGATTTCTCTATGTTGATGTTTCTGTGGCAAATCCCTGCACGTGTCATTTCTGAAAAGCCTTAAATCTTGGAGACGTTGCGTGTCGGGTCTGTAGTGCAAAAGGCTGCCTCGGAACCGTGAGCCCTTTTGTAAGCTGGAAGCATTTCTCTTACTACTGTTACTTTTTTAGGAAGTTTTCAATTCAGAGCTGCCAAAGCGTTCCAGTAAGCAGTGCCTTAGCAATACCTTAGTCGTACCGCCAGCCTTTTCTCGCGCCTAGACTCCCTGTCCACTTACCAATTGGCCCAGTATTTGAAACAGGACTAGCAAAAATTGTTTTTGTTTTGGTTTTGAAGCCCACCATTTTTCTTCAGTTCGGTAGGAAACTGACGACTTGGCCTGAAATCTGAAACCGGAATCCAAGTCGGTTCTTTGACCACTGCTCTCAAATGTATATACCAAAACAGAAGGTTGCAACTTTGTAGTTTACTATGAAAAGCAAATTGTACTTTTATTGTTGCCTTTTAAATTCATGACCAAATACTTAGCTATTTGTGAATCTTCTGCACTCCAGCATGAAAGTGCCTTTGGTTTGAGGTTCCAGCTTAGAAAAGGGCTGCCATAATAACGATAATTTGTAGAGAGACCAAAAATATTTTGAGATCACCGTAATGCCTTTGGTTTACCGGGATGAGTAACCAACCACAGGCCTCTGTTCACAAGAGCACCACGTGGCCGCCACCTGCCTGCCAGTGGGGGTCCCACCACCACCGCCATAGCACACCGCTGCAGGAGCGACCCAGAAACTGTTGTGTTTGTGTGTGCCAATGGCCCAGCGTGCCGTTTCCGCCCATCACCCAGCCCTGCGTCCAGATGAAGGAATTACCGCACAAACAACAGAAATCTTGGCCGGTGGACAGATATTACAGCTTTTGCCTTCTCCGTGTGTTCGTGTTCAGTCTCCGTGGAGACTCCTTTCCATTCAAATGACAGTGCGCACTTATCTGGTTTACACAATGACACCATTTCGAAAGTTGGAAGCCTCAAACTGAGATGACAGTGCAGAACAAAAATGTGTTAGGGTCATTACAATTGAAGTGTTCTTCTTAGGGCAAAAGTGTTGCCTCTGAGTGTTGTGTATGGATGTGCTATGAGAAACTTCCAAAGAGCACCATTCACAAATTTGGCATTTTCAAAGAATGTTCCAGCCTTCAAAGGGGGCGACTCCTTAAAAGTCTGTGTCGGCTTATTTCAAAACCTTGTGTAACATGGGAAAACTGATAGAGGTGAGGTTAAAAAAAAAAGGAAAAGGAAAAAGAAAACACCAGCCAAAAAGAAGCCAGGAAAAAAAAAAAAACAGTTTTTTTCTTTGCTAATATAGATGTAAAAATAACAGACAACTTTGAAAGCCTCTTAATTACATATGTTCCATGTGTCTCTACCTGGTGTCTTTAAGAAGAGCCTCTCTGAACTGATGTTTCAGGAGTGGTTTTTATCCTTCTATCCACCCCAAGTTGTGAGTATATATTTATAAAATTTCTGTGTTTTAAAAAAAAAAAACACTAGCAAATGAAAAGGAAAATTATACAAGTTACAGTCAGCTGCTCAAATTCTCTGCTCCTCCCTGTCAGGACTATACCACAACTTGGAAGGAATTAGTCAAATGTGTGTTTTCCTGCTTCGCTGCTTTTCAGCTGTTACTGTGTTTCCTTTGACAATAGTTTTCTCCTAAACTCTTGGCTTTTGTCATTCAGAATGAAGGTTTTATGTTTCAAAGTTGACTACATTGCAGAGGGTAGTTTCACTGAAGTCATGCACCATTAAGTAAGATGAAATATTTGTATTTATTGCCCCACTTCCTAAGCTGTAATTGTTT